GCAGGAAAATGAGAAATAGAGATTTAAGAAGACTCAGTATAGAAGGGCTGAATGCCATAGGTAAGAGAGAACATGGGTAATTAGCTCTTTGAGAGCAGCAGATCCCCACTGGGGATCCCTCCCAGGTGTCTCCTTTACATGCTGCCATGCTCTCATGAGAACGGTACTTAGTAACAAGACCTAGGTCCAGTGAGTGATATGTGAGGCTGACTGAGAGACAGGAAAACAAGCAGTATGTGGCAGCGATACCCATGGGCTACGCACATCAAAATCATGGAAGGACTTGTTAGAATGGAGATTCCTGGGCCAGATTCCAGACCTACTGAATCAGAATTTTAAGAGGCGTGGACTTGGGGAGCTGCATTTTTGCCTCTCACTCTAAATTAATTCCTAAGCACCACTGAAATGCAATGGAACCTTGTGACTCAGAAGTTAAGGGAGATGACTTTCTAGGAGAAAATAAGTTATGTGCAGAATCATTCAGAGAGGCCATGAGGAATGGAAAAAAGGCACTGGGCACTCTTGAGAATACAGTTCAATGGAATAATAGGAATATAAAAATAAAAGGTAGAATTAATAGTACATGAGAGACAAGAAAACAAAAGTGACTTTAGTCTAGGTCTCAGGGGCTCACAGACTCCAGGGTTTTAGGATTAGCTGGGGGAACTCTGGACTCATTGTGTACTGGATCCAGGGTCTGATCTGGATTCTGATAAGCACCATCACTTCAGTCACTGATGTAGTCCACTTTTTCAAAATGTTTGGAGCTCAGGGAAACAGAAGAAGGATGAAAGTTAAGTAAAAGTCATAGGACTGAATGAGAAACAGCGTCAAGGGAGTATCGGTGATAACTAGCTTCATCTGGAGCTGAAGGAAATAAGTTAGAGTGAAGATGCAAGAAAAAGGCAATATACTAGTGTTCTTTTGTTTTCTCAAGGACATCGGTCCAGCAATCATTTATTTCCAGCATCACCAGTTTTTCCCTCTCTTCTGGATCATTCTCATGAACATTCGAACTTGCTATATTTTCTTTCTTAGGATTTTGCCAGAGGGCCTGTGCACTCGCTGGAGAGGAATAGAGACAGACAGAGAGAGAGAGAAAGTGAGAAATCATCCCACGGGGGGACAATCATGCTGCAATCCCTTCTTTTCCATTCTCCTCTCAGGAATCTGGGCACACGTAAACACATGATCATCATGTTTTTCAAGTCACCGGGTCCAGGACTTGAATTATGATTGCCCATGTGGGCCAGTGCCTTAACCACTATTCCACCTGCTGGCCCCCAGGGTTCTATTTTTTCATCTTAAGATTAAACACTGGGAGAACTGAGCTCAGTGCTGTGCTAAAGAGTCTTTCCCTGGTGCAGTAGCACTGAATATAGTCTGCCTTTATAAAAACCCACTCATTTTAAAAGGAAATCTACCTTCTTCAATGTATTAACTAGTAGTCAGGCTTCAGCAGAAAACTTCCCATTCTGTACAATTGATCCTAATGAGAGCAGAGTACCTGTGCCAGATGAAAGGTTTGACTCTCTTTGCCAGTACCACAAACCAGCAAGCAAAATTCCTGCCTTTCTAAATGTAGTGGATATTGCTGGCCTTGTGAAGGGAACTCACAATGGGCAAGGCCTGGGAAATGCCTTTTTATCTCATATTAGTGCCTGTGGTGGGATCTTTCATCTAACACGTGCTTTTGAAGATGATGCTATCACGCATGTTGAAGGAAGTGTAGATCCTATTCGAGACAGAGAAATAATACATGAAGAGCTTCAACTTAAAGATGAGGAAATGATTGGGCCCATAATAGATAAACTAGAAAAGGTGGCTGTGAGAGGAGAAGTTAAAAAGCTAAAACCTGAATGTGCAAAGTCAAATCCTGGGTTCTAGATCAAAAGAAACCTGTTCATTTCTATCATGATTGGAACGACAAAGAGAGTGAAGTTTTGAATAAACGCTTATTTTTGACTTCAAAACCAATGGTCTACCTGGTTAATCTTTCTGAAAAAGATTACATTAGGAAGAAAAACAAGTGGTTGATAAAAAGTAAAGAGTGGGTGGACAAGTATGACCCACGTGCCTTGGTCATTCCTTTTAGTGGGGCCTTGGAACTCAAGTTGCAAGAACTGAGTGCTGAGGAGAGACAGAAGTATCTGGAAGCGAACATGACACAAAGGGCTTTGCCAAAGATCATTAAGGCTGGGTTTGCAGCACTCCAACTAGAATACTTCTTCACTGCAGGCCCAGATGAAGCACGTGCATGGACCATCAGGAAAGGGACGAAGGCTCCCCAAGCTGCAGGGAAGATTCACACAGATTTTGAAAAGGGATTCATTATGGCTGAAGTAATAAAATATGAAGCTTTTAAAGAGGAGGGTTCTGAAAATGCAGTCAAGGCTGCCGGAAAATATAGACAAGACAGAAATTATATTGTTGAAGATGGAGGTATTATCTTCTTCAAATTTAATACACCTCAACAACCGAAGAAGAAATAGATTTTAGTTGTTGCTCAGATAAATGTACACCTCCAAAAGGCTTTTTTTTTTAATTCAAATTTCTGAAAACTGAAGGAACAAATAAAGTTGAGGGGATGAGAATCTTCTACAAACAAATTATTTTTGTTTGTTTTAAATTAAAATACTATGTACCTCGGATGAAGTGCAAGTTCATTAAATGTGAACAGCTTTGCTTTTCACGTGATTAAGACCCTACTTCAAATTGTAGAAACTTTTCAGGAACCATATTACTCTCATGACACTTCATTAATCTCCATCATGTATGCCAAGCCTGACACATTTGACAGTGAGGACAATGTGGCTTGCTCCTTTTTGAATCTACAGATAATGCATGTTTTACAGTACTCCAGATGTCGACACTCAATAAAACATTTGACAAAACCAGCCTTGGTGTGTTTGGGGATGTCTGTATTGACTGACTCGGGTGTGCTGAATGCGATACGGCACCTGGTGGTTGCTGATTACAGAATTTTAAGGCCTGTGTATGACACAGTCACTGGCAGTGTGGGGCAGCTGCAATTGTATCTTAAAAGTGAGTCTTTCATGGGCAGCAGGAGAATAGTATACCAGGGATTTGTCTTTAAAAAATTAATTAATTTGTAGATCAATATTGTCTGAAAGATGATAGCCCTGTTATTACAAAGGATATATATCCATAGGTGACTTGACCAGAAAGCAACAATTCGGTTTCAAAATTAAGAAATTTTGTTTGCTGTTGTTTTTCTGACCATATTGAACAGAGTGTTTGTTTTTAATCTTTCCTTTGAAAAAAACTATTAAACTATGAAAAACTGACCCATTGTTGTTTGGTAGGTTATATTTTTGTTTCAATTCAGCAGTACATGCAAAAATTTATATGCTGGTTTTGAAATTACTAAAAAAGATTAGCTTTGAAAATTTTTAAACTTCTTTTATACTTTCCATTAAAATATTTCAGACTAGTTGAAAAAAATAGTATGTATAATAACTACTTTAAAAAATTGAAACAGAAAATTCTGGGAAAAAGAAGGACAAATTTGTTACTGGGAGACTGCCACCTGGCCTTCTTCGCTTGTGATGATAGTCTTAAAGCTCTCTCATCCCTGAACCCTCCTCCATCTTCCGCATTCGCTCTCCTGAGAGGCTTCTCTTGTCCCGCCAACTGCCTTCGGTGCTGCTCTGTGATCAGAGGACCATGAACGTGTCAGTGGAACACAGATTCGTACCCAGGCCAGCCTGGGCCTTGACTTTATTACATTGTCACATTAAAGATGCTGTATTAAGCACAGACTTACTATAATGTAGCACAGAGAGCAAGAAAAGTGATTTGTAAAGATCTGACTGAGCTTAAGAAAGGATATTTTGGGGAACCAGCAGTTAGCATAATGGTTATGTCGCTGGACTCCCACGTAGTCAACCGCGGTTCGCATCCCGGACCCGGTGGCTTAAAACTCACGCCGGGCGCATGTGTGTGTGTGCCCAAGATCCCGAGAGGAGAATGGACGAGAAGGGATTGTGGCATGACCATCCCCCCTTGGGGGTGATTTCTCGCTTTCTGTCTCTCTGTCTGGCGAGCACACACGCCCTATAGCGAAAACCTCTCAAAAAAAAAAAAAAAAGATATTTTGGACTGGCTCTATAGTCTAGTGGTTAAGAGCAGTGGTATCCCACCCAACTGATCATGGTTCAAATCCCTTCCCCAGTTGATTTAAAAATGCACATGCATGCCCAAAATACTGATGGGAAGGAGGAATGAAGGAGAAGGGATTGCAGCATGACCACTCCTCACTCGGGGTACTTTCTCCCTTCTGTCTCTGTCTCTGGCATGTATATGCACCCTTTGGAAATTAAAAAAAGAAAAGAAAGGATATTTTAAGAGGATGAAGTAGTAAATGTAATTTAGAAGCTCTTTAGAGAGTATACTCTTTTCAAATAACAAATTAAGATCTTTTGCCAACAAAAATAAGTAAACTACAGCAAAGAAAGTGAATAAGGACTAGCCAGTGGCGTGGTGGTTAAGGCAGGTGCATCTCACGTGGCCGAACGCCT